GGGGCGCGCTAAAGCTTGAAGAACCAATGGGGTGCCCAACAAACAGAGCACCTCCCCAAGTGGAAGGGTGTGAGGTCTGCAGGCAAAAAGATGGAGGATGACATGGAAAAGTAATGAACCCGAGGTTCAGAAACGCTCCCGATGCACTGGGGACCATTCCAGCCCTTCCTCCTCCTCCCTTGTGGGGACCTCCCCAGAGTGCTCTTTCAGAGTGGAGCTTTTCTCGGGTTCCCAACGCCTCTGAAACTACCCCTCCCCCAGCTTCTCCTGGGCAAACCGTCTCCCAAGACTTGTGGAAGGGTCAAAGGCTATGGCCGACAGGATCAAACACTACTCCAAGACTGGAAGGAAACTCTGAGGTTGTTTAATCTACTCTTTCCTTTACAAAGAGCCGGTAACTCGTCCAAGGCCGCTGAGCTGGTCTGTGGCAGGCCAGCATGGGGGGCTCCACTTCCGACCAACTCTCCCTCCTACCAGAGCTGGAATGCCTCCCTTTCAAGGAGGCCAGCGCCAAACGCCATGATGCAGAGATGACACGGCGGTGCCCTGGGCCCAAACAGGAGTGCAGCTCAGGACGGCAGCGGCCATGTTTGCTGAGCCCCTCCTCTGGCCAGGCCCTCCAAGTCACAGGCTCTCTCACTGAACCTGCAAGCTCCAAGGGAGACTCTACCGGTAACTCACTCACCAATGGGTGACGGAGCTCAGAGAGGGGAGGCGACAAGCCAAAGGGCACAGAGTGAGTCTGAGTGGAAGAACCAGGGTGTGACGCCCACAACCTGCCCTGTGTGGCCTCTGCCAACAGGTTCCCACGTCCAGACACACCGCAGGCTCCTCAAAGGGGCTGAAGCCAGGCCTAGCCTGGCCGGGCGGGGCCTGCTGGAGGATCCCAGCCTGCCTGGTGCAGGCTGGGAGATGCTGATGAATAGCAATGGGAGGCGGCTGGGGGCTGGGAGAGAAGCTGCAGCGCACAGGGCAAGAGACGTCTCAAGCTGGAGGGAAAAATAAATTGTTGAAAGTCAGCTAAAGTCACCTTGGTAACTGCCACAACACACTCACCCAGAACGAGGACATCAAACCCAACTGCAAACAGCTTTAAAGAAATGGAAAAGAACTTAATCATCTGAAGAATTAATGTGACAAGTGCCCACATTTACACCTCCCACCAACCTTCAATCATTTGAAACCATACTTTAATCTTTTAAGAGAAAAAAAAAATCGCAAAATGCTAGATCTGCAGTCCTGGAGCTCGGGTATTTCCGGCATGCTGCTTCAGTGGAAGCGTGGCTGCTACACACACACACACACACACACACACACACACACACGCACGAGCCCAGCTTTTTGCTGATTTGTTTTTTCTGGACATCGATGCAGAAGCATGAATTATTTGTGTGGGCTGGGTGAGGTATTAAATCTGCAGCCGACACAGGTTTGCAATGTTTTGCATGGTTGTCAGCTTAATCTTAGTCATAAAAAAATAAGTAGTGTGCTCGGCAGCGTGGCCTAATTTTTCAGCTGGGCTGTTTTCTCCCCGAGTTCCCAGTGGAGGGAACGGCAGAGCTTTGGTGGCGGGAAGGAAGAGGGGTTCCCAGGAACGTGGACCACACTCAGGGGGGATGGCTAGGGGCGTGAATCCAGGAGCACACTTCAGGAGACAGAGCAGCTAACAGTACAAGTTCTGGGTTCAAGTACCATGTGACCATGGGCAGCACTTCGCCTCTCTCCTAAGCCTCAGTACCCTCTCGATGATGACAAGGATTAAATGGATGACCCACACGAGGTATCTAATAGTGTCTGGGATGTAGTAGGTACTCAAAAGGTATCTGATGAATGCATTAGTGTGTCAATATTAGCCGATCTGTTCCTCCTACAAGAATGTTGATTTTTTAAAAAAGAATTATTTAATTTAACTTTAGTTATTTACTTACTTATTTTAATTTGACCACAGCGGGAAACAGCGAGAGAGAGAGAAAGAGAAAGTAAGAAAACAAGCCACCAGGTCTGGGACTCGAACTGTGGTCAGCCATGTGAGAGTCCAGTGCCCTTAACCACCACACCATCTGCTGGCCCCGAATATTGATAATTTAATAAAATCTTGTTTGCCTTTATTGTGAGTCTGGAATCTAACTACCTCCAGCTAGGTCAGTCCCTCTGTTGAATGAAGGTCCTTCCTCTGAGTTTGGGAGAGGAGACCTTTTTTTTTTTTTTTTTTTTTTTTGAGAGGTTTTCGCTATAGGGTGCTTACGCTCACCAGAAAGACAGAGAGAGGCAGAGAGATAGAAAGTGAGAAATCAGCCCCCAGAGGGATGACCACGCCACAATCCCTTCTCCTTCATTCTCCTCTCAGGATCTTGGGCATGCACTTAAGCCACCAGGTCCAGGACTCGAACTGCGGTCGACTACATGGGAGTTCAGCGACATAGTCATTATGTTAACTGCTGGTCCCGAGAAGACTTTTTTTTAAAAAAAGAATTGTTTAATTTATTATTATTTATTATTTAATTTGACCAGAGAAAGGAAAAGAAAGCAAGTCAACAGATCCAGGACTCAAACTGTGGTTAGCCATGTGGGAGTCCAACATCTTAAACACCATGCCACGTGCCAGTCCCTGGGAGGAGAGACTTCTGAGCTGGGGCTTGACAGGGCTCCTGACTCCTGTACCAGTCAGTGCAGGCCCTGCTCAACAACTCGTACTCCGAGAAGGCCTCCTCATAGGCCAATGAGAGCCCTGAAGCCTCTGTTCTGAGAGAGGAACTGGCAGGCTTGACTTCCCTTTACAGAGCACAGAGACCAGCAGATGGTGTAGCGATTACGTCGCTGGATTCCCACATTGCCAGCCACGGTTTGAGTCCTGGACCTGGTGGCTTGAAACTCAAGCCAGGCACGTATGCACTCCTGCCCAAGATCCCAGGGGGAGGATGGAGGAGAAGGGCTTGCAGCATGGCCATCCTCCCCGCCCCGGCATGAGTTCTCAATTTCCCTCTCACTGTGTCTCTCTCTCTCCCCAGTGGGCGCACACGGCATAAGGCAAACACCT